CATAGCTTTCTAGAGCCAATTTGTGAAGTTTGAGTTGTTCTTGAGCGTATATAGTTTACTCAACATCTACTCTTAAAGAGAGTCTTGTTCTTGAGTGTTCTTAGTGTTGTAAACACGTTTAGGGAAGCTTGTTTCCCTTGGTTGTACGAAGGAAAGGTATTTTCCTTCGGGTTGAAGTCTTGGAGTGCGGTATCTCCAAGCAAGTGTATTGAGGCTCGTGGGACTCGAGTTCTCAGGTTGTAACGGTTTGTTAAGCACCCGTAAGCTTAACGGGAGTAGTGTAGCTCGAGAGAGTCTCTCGGGAGGCTGGATTAGCCACAAGTTGTGGTGAACCAGGGTAAATCTTGGTGTGCTCCCTTTACTCCTTTCTATTCCGCTCTTTACTTTATCCCTGCGATTTTTATTCCGCGAAAATTTAGAAACATTCTCGTGCCTCACTATTCACCCCCCTCTAGTGAAGGGCACTTATTCTAACAATTGGTATCAGAGCCTAACTCGCGTCCAAACTTAACCGTTTGAGAGTAAAGCGATCATGGGTTCTTCTTCTAGAAATTTGTATGCAGGAATAGGTGAAGGGCAATCAACCACACGGCCACCTCTTTTTGATGGAACCAATTATACATATTGGAAAGAACGAATGAGAATCTATATTTGTTCCACGAACTTCCAATTATGGTTGGTTATCAAAAACGGGGAAGAGGTACCGATGAAGAAAGTCGGAGACAAGTTGATCCCCAAGACCGAAGACGAGTTTGATGCCGAGGACATCAAAAAGGTCGAGAATTATGCAAAAGCAATAAACATGCTTTATTGTGCCGTAAATCCTGATGACTACCGCAAGAACTCTTGCTGCTCAACCGCCAAAGAGATGTGGGATAAACTTGAGGTGACGTACGAAGGAACGGACCAAGTACGTGAAGCCAAGATTGACTTCCTCACCCAAGAATATGAAATGTTCAGGATGAAGGAGCATGAGAAGATTGATGACATGTTCGACCAATTTTCCAAGATAGTCAACGATCTTCATGCATTAAAGAAGACGTACACCGACAGGGATCTTGTGCGAAAAATCCTACGGAGCTTGACATCCGAATGGCGATCCAAGGCCGATGCCATCTATGAATCAATCGGCACATCAAATGTCACCATCGATGGCCTAAGAGGTAATCTAAAAACCTATGAATTGACTATTCTTAATCCGTCTTTGAATGACCAAAGGAAAGGGATAGCACTAAAAGCTGTCAAAGAATCAACGATGGATGATTCAAGTGACGATGATGAAGTCAAGCTTGTCATGAAGAAGTTCTGCAAACTTCTAAGAAAGAAAGAAAAGGTTGAGGATGGCCCTGTGTGCTATGGATGTGGAAAAGCCGGGCACATCAAGAACAAATGCCCGAAAAGCGGAAGGAATGCTCGACACTTCAAAAGGCAAAAGGCGTATATCTCTTGGGGTGGAGACTCCGGCGACGAGTCAACCGACCAAGATGAGGATGAAGTTGCCAACCTCTGTCTCATGGCACACGAAGACCAAACCGACGATGTACAAGAGGTATGTACCATTTCTTCCGACTCTTACACTTTTGAAGAAATGCAAGAAGCACTTCACGAACTTTATGATGAATTTGTTA